GCAGCTTAAAAGTGTGCTTATTCTGAAGTCAAAGATAATAGGACTAGAAAACCCCTCAGAAGGTTATCCAGTCCATACCTCTGCCCACAGCAGGATAAACGATAATCACATCACTCCTGACGGACATTCGCCTAACGCAAGTCAGTCAGTGACTGAAACTCTACAATCTCTCCATTTCTTCATTTGACTGTGCTTGTATCTGTGAAGGTCCTTCCTAACATCCAGCTGACGTTTGACAGTTTCAGAGAGATAGAGACTTGGGTTTCAGTCCCACTGGATTCTGGAAAAGGCAGATAGCCTGAGTGCATTTGAGGTGTTTGGATCTAGGCATATTTTAAAACGATGCTGCTTAAAATGTAGCTTTTCACCCAGGTTCTGGGTGGCGTTGTCTAGCTGAGAACGTGAGAGCTGGGATCAGCCTTTGTGGTCGCCAGTTGCAAGCCATGACTGGCTCCTCATAGCAATGAGGAAAGGGGGTGTAATCCGTCCGAGGGGGCCGAGCAGCCGGGCGGCCCTTCGACTTCTGCTCTGCTCACCTCTCGCTGCCAGCACTGCTTATAACACCCGGCTATCAAAGAAGGGCAGGGCATGGATATAACCTGTAACCTCTCCTGCAGTTTAAACTCATCAGACCTTTTTCTGCTTTCAGTCTGCTTCTTTGCACCAGTCTTTAGTGCCCTTGTCTTCCCTCAGTTTCCCCCCACCCCTCTTTTTTTTTTTTTTTTTTTAAGCTGACTAAACTAGTTCTTTAACTACTTCACTCTTTTTGGGAGGATTGTGATCATTCCTATCACTTGTCTCTGTGCTTCAGCAGACCCACAACCCCCCTAAAACACAATGCTTAATACTGGAAAAAGTGCTAGAGTTGAGACTTTACTATCTGTTTTTAGCAAATATTTCATTTCTAATTTTCGTTTTGGTGACATTTCTAGGGCTGAACTTAGTAGCTGAGAAAAAGGTATTTGAAAAAAAGCTTATAGAGCTATATTTCACACAGCGATGATGTTGCAGTCATCAGCAGCGCTTTTTGAACAAAACTGCAGAGATTACAATGTTTGCCAGGATATCACTTTTGCTCTTAAATCTGGACCCCTCTGGCTCTCAGGAAAAAATTTAATCCTTTTGTTGTAGGCAATGTTTTGGCTGCAGAGATGATCCTTCATGAAGAAGATACATGTTAAGTACACTTTTCAAGCCTGCGTAGGATCGAGATCTTAGCACATACATATCATATGCTGAATACCATTTAACATTTGTACACACATGTTTTGCACAGAGTTAACAGTACATTTGTCCTTTCCTTGTTCCTTATGTTTGTGATGCATTTATACTCATTTTTATGGTAGTGGTTTCCCCCCAAAGAAGCATACTTTCCCATTTTTGCAAGAGGTCTAAAAGTAATGCCAGTAGCCCTACCAGGATTTCACTGAAGATTTGCTTTGCTCTTTCACAGTAATAACATCCAGAAAAAGAAATAATGTAGGACTGCGGTATCACTGAAGTGGTGAGAGATGAGCCTTCCACAGGCCCATCAATTATAGACCCTTGAAACACACACAAATACAGGCTATGCTTGTCACAGATCAACGAGCTCCAGGACACCAGGCACCAAATAATCAAACAGCCCTGCTTGTTCAATAGAAATGCTTATCCCTACAATATGAATTGAAACATTTTAAACCAAAAGACACAAGGTTTTTCTAGTCACTTTATATAGCTTTCCCACAGTGCACACAGGAAAGTCCAAACTCATCCTTGCAGATTCACACTACGTATTTAGCATCACAATAACCTCACACGTGAATAGCTCTCCAGCATCCTGATTTTCTCCACTGTGTCTACAGTCTCCAGATACAATTATCCAGTGAATAGCAGCCCGAGACCCTCTCCCATCTACAGTTCAGGTCTCTCTTCCTTGAGGACTAATAGCCCAGTCATATTTCTCTATCTCCACTCAGAGCTGATGCTATCCAGTAGGCACTCACAGAAGGCAGACATCTGCAGATCATTTGCTCAGGTGTATTTTTTAACCCTAACCATGCCTATCAGGGCACCGACCTGTGCTGTACAAACAGCCATGAGTAAAGCCTTCCCCAGCTCTCTATAAAGAATGAGTTACCAGCCTATCATTTGGAAATACAACAAGTATAGCTGATTGGGATTTCAGTCAGTTCTGGAGGTTGTCACATACATGGAAAATTTGTTGGAAACTTATTTAAGTACCTGTATTTCCTAGGCTGCCATCCACCAGGATTGCTGACTCCTCAAAGGCACACTTAGGTCATGCCTAACCTTTGCTCTAGTTTCAGACTGGGCAACGAGGTCCTACAACCAGGTGATAGCTGTTCCCACCGCTCAGGCCCACCTGCTAATGCTAACAAGCAGATAATCCCATAAGAATATCTGTTCTCAGAAGGCCTCCTTTTTCTTGTAAATAAGAAAAAGGAATGAAGAGTAATACTGAAAATTGGAAAGGGGAACACGTTATTTGGCTTAGGATTTTCTAAGATGTTGCAAGCATGTGTCTGATTCCTGGCAAGTGACTGTGGTATGGTGTGCAAAGAGGATCCAGCTGCCTGAATCTTCTTTCTTTTCTGAGGCCTACAAAGGAAAGGATAGAGCTCAAAGCATGCATTTTTCTGCACGCAATAGCGCAATTTTCCTTCTACAATGGTGGTGCTACAGCACACTGAAGTTGGGAAGTCCTGTTTTGGATAAAGGTACAGCTCCTATCAGTATCTGCCTATCAATTAAAAATTCAATCGACTGAAAAAAGGTGGGGTGAGATCTGGTGCTTTTTTCTTCCCACACTCATGAAAAAGAAATTGAATTTATTTATGCTTTTTCTGTATTAGCCCTTGATGGTTTAAATAGTTAAAATGTGATTGGGCTGCTTATATTCTGTGAACGGCCCAAGTTACTTCAAGGAACTTTCTCACCGGTATAAACTGTGTCCAGTTCTGGGCTCCCCAGTATGAGAGAGACATGGACATACTGGAGCAACTCCAGCAAAGGGCCACAAAGATGACTAAGAGACTGGAGCATCTCTCACACAAGGAGACGCTGAGAGAGTTGGGACCCTTCAGCCTGGAGAAGGCTCAGGGGAGAATGTTATCAATGCATATAAATATCTGGTGGGAGGGTTATAAAGAAGACAGATCCAGACTCTTCTCAGGAGTGCCCAGTAACAAGACTAGAACCAATGAGTAGACACTGAAATACAGGAAATTCTATTTTAACTTAAGAAAAATCTTTTTTACTATGAGAGTGGTTAAACAACAGAACAAGTTGCCCACAGAGGTTGTGGAGTGTCCATCCTTGGAGATACTCAGAACCCTACGGGGCCCTGAGTCATCTGCTCTAGGTGACCCTGCTCTGAGTAGGGGGTTGGACTAGACAACGTCCAGAGGTCCCTTCTAACTTCAGCCACTCTGCGATTCTGTGAAAATTAAACATGGGGACAAGGATCGGGGATTCTTAAGCGGCAAACTGATTTAGCTCAAGAGAAAGTGAAAAAGTGGACTGGGCAGTTAAGATCATTATGTCTTGACTTAATGACTGACTTAAAGCAAGATCTCTGTCTTCTGAGTCACAGGTTTTATCAGGTGTAAAAGTGGGATATATCATTCAGAGAGCCTCAAGTGAAGGGAGATTTATAGAAAGATAAAGCTTTTTTATCTGGGGAAGATGGAGTTTCCACCCAATGTGGACAGCTTCTATGCTGTCTACCTCATTTGACTTTTTGTATCTCTAGCTAGGTGTCTTCTATGTGCTACCAGAGGCCTGGATAATGTGTGAAGAGTACTTCCACTACCCCAATGCCCTCATAAAAGGGGTTGGCTAAATACCTCTCTGAACCACAACCTAAGCATTGCAGTTGTAGACCTTTAATAGTATCTAGGAACCCTAAGTTCCATCACTCTGTGCAGCACTTAGATAAGAATATGGTTCCTGCTATAAGGAAAAAAATTATATATACATACATATATACAGAAAATCATAGAAGAGTGTAGTAATGCAAACATTCTTTTTAGTCCTTTGATAGGAAACTATGTAAGTCAAGGTATTTAGCCTGTTAAGTCAAAAAGAGATGTTGGGGGAAAAAATCAAAGGAAATAGGAAATAGGTGAGCAGTGAGTGAGAAGAAACAAGCTCCTTACCTCTGGCTTATCTAGAACTGGCCACAGAATGAATGCTCCAGGCAATTACAGAATACAATAGTTGAACTAAATGTTAGACTCAGTCTGCATAGCAGCAGTTTGAAATACTGAGTACAGTCATTCACCGTACCTATAATGCTGCAGCTTTACGTTAGTGAGTAGACAGATGGTATAAGATAGGTTCTACCTGGAAGAATGGTCATGTGGCACCAGACTCATGGTCATGCTGAGGTTCTCACCTGCAGGTGCAATGATACTCTCATCATTCAATATCTGGAGCTTGGACAAGATTTAGCCCTAGCTACCCAAGTTTAGCCGGTTACCCAATTATGTCTCTTACAATTTTAAACCTCGAAAGAATTTTGGTCCATCCAAGAAGTTCCAAAATTGGAACTTTTTCAATTCTAGAATTGGTACTTCGAACCCTTTTGGTTCTTAGTTGATGTACGGGGTAAACATAGATGCTTTTGAAACTGAAGCAAGTCTGTTAAGCTGTTCAGGCACTTTTGGAAATTCTAGGCAATTACAGGCACTCATTATGGAAGGTGTACAGCTACAAATATATACACATAAAATACTTTATTTTTTTAACTTCTAGGATGGAAAGTCAAAAGATGGATCTTAATTAACTTATCTGCAGGTTTCCTGATGTTTATACTCTTCCCTCAAAGGGATTTTCACATCCTGCAACACGTGAGGTGGCAGGTAGGAAAGGCATAACAAAAACTCTGTAGGAGGAGAGAGGCAGACAACAGTGACAGCTCACCTTCAGCCAGTGCATTAGTTAATAAGCAACTACTGCAGATCTTGTATGAAAGTTCATGCGCTGAAAGTATACAAGATAGTTAAGTGTCTTCCTCTTTCTAAACTATTGATTTGTTCACCAAAATGGAGTTTTAATAATAATATATAGACGTTAAGTAGTGTTGCTTTAAAGTGTATGATCTTGTGAAGAGATTACATCCTTCTGGGGAGGAGTTTTCGAGGAGGAAGGCACTGTGCAGCTCATAAATATTTCGGACTGAGATTGCTGCTTTTGTCTCATCTGCCTCTGAGCCCGTTGCTGAAGTGCAGCGTTCCTGCTCATCTTTAAAAAGAAACATGGCTGACTGGTTTGTGAAGAACAAAATCAGAGATGACAAAGTAACTGTTTTTATAAAGCCAACTTGCTCTTACTGCCGTAATATGATGGAGATCCTCACACAATTTAACATCAGGCCAGACTGTCTGGAGTCGGTTGATATTACTGGGAGGGATGACGTCCAGGATTACCTCCAGCAAACAACAGGGCAAAGAACAGTAAGTTCTCAAATTCTTATTTCAGAATTTGCTAATCTTTTCTCAGAAATAAAATAGTGTTAGCTGCTACAGAGACTGAAGTGAGGTCTCTTTCCCAAGTAATTTTAATTCTTTTTGCAATCAAACTAACCACTTCACAAGGAAAAGCCACATCCTTATTCTATTATTAAAATGTTTTAAATATTGTTTTCACTTTTCTGCTTCTTCCCTAAAAAGTGCCTTCTCATAGTCAGAGGAACTGCACAAATCTGTGCTTCCGTATCTAGAACTGCACACTAATCCCCCTTGTAAGAACCTTGTTACAAAGCTTCACTCTACGCGAGCTGCCTCCTGGGGAGCTATGACACCATGACACCTCTAAGAATATTTTGTACCTGTTTGGAATGTATTGGCTGTTGTAACATGTGGAAGCACAGAAGTAACAGAGCCTCACATTAACTCTTAGTTCTTGACCTCGCTAGTTAGAGAAGGATTAATGTAAAAGGTAATCTTCATATTTCTAGGATCGTGATCAGAAATTCCTTCAAAGATCTTTCTATAAAATTGTCCTAGTTAACACACAGGCAAAGCAAAAATGTGTTTGAGCAGTCTGAGCAGAGGAGAGAGAAGACAGAGCTGGGAGTTTGTCTGAGCTTTTACGCTTTCCTTCCCTCTGGCTTTGAGCAGAGAAAGCATTCAGAGTTGCCTCATTTTAGCTGGCAGTAAAACAGATACTGTACTTACAAAATTTAAAGGCCATTTATTTTGAAATTTAATTAAATAATTGGATTTGTATCAGTGTATCAACATTATAAGATGTATTTGAGTTTCAGGAAGTAATTTCTTTAGAAATGCTGTCACGCAGGTCAGATAGTTGACACTTCAGCCTTAGTTATGCCATTGTGCAACTTTTTTTTTTAATACAATCTAGTTTAAATAGCAAGGTACAATAGGTTTGGCTCTGTAAAGCGAAACTGAAAAGAAACGCTGAGGACACAGTATCCACACTCTCTGAGTTTCGGGGAATTTACTCTAGCCTGATCTGGTACCGTGGACTGAATGTCCTCACCAGACATGTGGTTTGAATTACTCCAGGGTAAATCCAAGTTTGTCCTTCTGCTTTGAAGACAGCAGGCTCTTTAGCTGGCCTTAGTGCCGTGGTGTCTGTCTCGCACAGATGATGACAATACATTGCCGCTTTTGCTATCCTCTTGTGAAGTCCTCACTCACGGAGTCAGGTCTGTTCCTGGCTTGTTTCTGATCCTGCCTTCTCATTTTTAACCTCTTACAAGTGACAGAGGGAACCTTATTTATTGCATGCTTAACTCCCGGTCCCCATACTGAATGTGGAAACTGAGCACACCTGAGGGCCAGCAGGTGGGGACAAGTGGATTCACTGATGCTTCTATGGCTCATAGTCCAGGAGGGAAGTCTTGAAGTGGTAGGAGGGGAGACAACTATAAGACTTTGCTACTGTGACTGCTGTTCTCAACTGACCAGAAATGTTAAGCACAAGAAATGAGCTCACATTGAGAGCACCTCTTCATCTTCAGTACATAGAAGGACCAACAGTGAATTCTGTGCTTTCAGTGTGTAAGCACAGTGGAGCCTGTTGCTGTCAGCTGGACACAGCTTTGCTATCATTGCATAAAGCTTTGTGATCTCATACCCGTCTTCAAGAGGCTGGGATTTGCTTTCTAGGGCCTTGTGCCCGTCAGCTCCTATCAGTATATGGCTCACCAGTTTGAGGTGAATAACTCAAATCATGGATGAGTTCATCAGCAAGGTGCTCAGCCTTCAAATCCCATTCTAGCAGATCGTTTGTTTGCACAAGATCATCAAGGCTTTTACTCTCTGGGGTTACCAAACTGTCTACATCTACTGCCTGATGCCTAGCCTGGCACCTAGCCTGGTATGATTATGGTTACATTAAGAGCAAGGGCTACCCGTTACATGGCACACAAGACCAGGGGAGGCATCTTGGTCTGCCGCATGGGAACCCAAGCATTCTGAAGTTTGGGCCTCAGGCCACACCCTGGTACCTTTATTCCACACATGGAAATGGTTCTTTGCAGCATTCAGGCGTCAACCTGCAACATCAGGAATACTGGTCACCTCCTTCATTGCTGGATCATGACACTTTACCCCAACAATGAAGGGGCTTAGTTCAGTTGCATCCTCAGTATCAGCCAGTTCAAAGTGAAGAATACATTCAGTCAAGTCACTGCAAGATAGCACAGTGAGACAGACAGGTAAGATACAAACATTCTCCAAATCCTTCAGATAATGTAACTCCTGCTGTACTCTCTCCAGATGAAGATGCAGATGGGCTTTTTGATCCCAGCTGGAACAACAAAGACCATTTTCTCAAGCAGCTGTTGCATGTAGCCCTTTGGGCCTCATGGAAGCAGTCAGGGCACAAAAGGATGTCCCCGTGGCAGTATGCCAGCTGTGCCTTAGGGGGCAAAGCGGACAGCAAAGCTAACAGGTGTGTCATGGAGTGGGCTGACTGGAAGGGGGAAGGGGCATGAAGACGTTTGCATGAAGATGCCTTCTGCTCTGTGGGACTCCATTAATGAAATTAGATGTCAATAAATGTCTTCTATGTGTCTTCCCTCTGCCCCAACCTTCCGTGGCACTTGACCCATCACACCTTTTAGGCAAGCATGGTTAATCTGACTATGTCTTCCCTGGCCCCAGCCCCTGTACCATTTTTGACCTTTGTGATATACTGCTGTGTGCCTATGGCTGTCTCTACAGACCCAAAAAAAACCTCGGTCTTATGTCTGAGAGTATGCTAAATCACAGCAGTGGTGTTGAGTGATACTGGAAAATATAAGCAGTAACTGGAAAGCAGAAGTGTTTTCCCAGCAGAGAAGGAATTGGGAGGGAGGGAAAGGATGGACAGCTTTACTAGAGAAGTAAGATACTGAGAGTAGTAGGTCATTTCCCAGCAGGACAGGGATTGATAGCCTTACTAGTGAGAGAAGCCACCCAGGGAAAGTGGAAGCAAATTTCCTAGCAGACACGGAATGGAGTGGGAGGGGGAAGTTAAAGAGTTTTGCCAATGAGAGAAATAACTTACTGAAAGCAAAAGGTAATTTCCCAGCAGAAGAGGAATGGGGGAAGAGGGCTCGCTTGCTCCGTGCTTTGCTAAGTAAGGACAAAGGGTGATGGGTGCTTTTGGGGGCTAGATGACAGAAAAGGCTTGTCTCAGCTGTGCTGTGGTTTGGGGGATTTTGATATGGTCAGGGAAAGCTTTGTTCGCTAAATTGGCCTTGCAGGATGAAAAACAAACTTCCCCATGCTTTCTTAAAAGAAAATTTTTCTTGTTCTTCCAACCAGTAATACAAGAGCTTTTGTTCCTTTTCCCTTCCTTTGCCCAGTCCAGCCAAAGGAGTGCCTCTGTCCTTTACCTAGGCTTTTGCCACACCAACCTTCCTGACAAGCCACAGGCATCCCATGCTGCAGACAGGCTACCAGCCACAACGAGTTCTTGCAGCAAGACCTCCTTAGTACCAAGAAGTAACTTCGCCGCCAAAGACCACTGAGCTAGAAAACATTGCTCTCTACCCCCTTTACAAAGACCTCAGGCAGCCATGTGGGAAAGGACCGTGCCTTGCCATCCCCAGAGTAGGCCTTCTTCCCACTTCCAGTGCAGGCAAAAAAAGCCTGGGTTAAAGCGTGGGTGGGATATGCACTGGAAACAAAACATAAACAGCCTAGGGCAATTGCTTAAGAACAAGAACACTTAATTCCTTCCAACTGGAACACAGCCCTTAACTGAAAAGGAGATGAGAGGAGGTGGCTAACAGCATCACAAAATCCAGGAAAGGGTTGAGTGACCGGGAAAGGAAGAAGATAAAAATGTTCCTAATGGGCCAATATGTCCCTGAGCTGCAAACATCAATAGAAAAAGGCCAACGTGGCTCACCTGACAGGGTATACACCATGTTGGTGAAGGGAGGGCAGCAGAGGTCCTGAAAGCTACTGCTCTTCTTCAGCCTACTGCCAAATGGTCCTCCCTTGGATCAGCATGGATGCCTAGGGAGGGAAGGAATAAACAGATGGGGGAGAGGCAATCTGTCTTCAAGTTATGATGTCCTTCTCCTTCCTCCACTGGCTTCTCCAGAAGCTGGACCTACCTATTGCTGCACAGGAGCAGGGGATAGGGACTCTAGAAGGAGGTTGCAGACTTAGTGCAGAAACTGCTGCTCCTACCCACTGCCAGGAGCCTGCTTTTCTTTGTGCCTCGCACAGCCACATATCTAGCTGATCCAGAAACTGTTGTCAAGCCTGTAGCACTCCCTTACTGGATCACATTTGTTTGCAAATCCTTTGCCATGTGCAAAGAGGCTCTGCAAACTCGATGTACACCATTTGAAAGTACAAAAAAACTTGTTGACTGATATGCACAGCAGATAGCTATGACTAACATGCTATAAGGTAAGCATTAATATACCCATTATGTCGATGAGAGACCCAATGAGTCTGTCAGCCATGCAGTCATCAGTCAGGAAGGCAAGGGTTGGCCTCTGTCCACTGCTCCCTAGAACAGGCTCATCTTTGATATCTCTGAGTTACTGTCTTCCTATTGTCCACTTTTTCCCCTAGAATTTTTACCTCTTCATATGCAAGTTTTCTTTACTGAGTCCTTGAGCTATTACAGGCTTAATAATTTCACTTCTGCCTGGGTTCTTCTTTTTATCTTGCCTGGCTTTAGCAGATGCACTGTTTCCCAGCTCAACAGTTTTTACTTCCGACTGTAAAGAGAAGCATATGGATGCTTTTTAGGAAGTCTCAGAAGCTGAGTTTTGGTAATTGTTCCTGGTTTTCAGAAGTGTCTTTTTTTTTTCCTTAAATTTGACCCCGATTTGATTACCAGTTCTCTTGTACCCAGATGACAGTCACCAGATGATTGGCAACCTAGAAGTAGGAAGGCAATCGTTCTAGATGAGAAGTTTGCCCCTCTCATGTCACAGATTTAACAGGCTAACTGGTTGCTGCACCCACCATGGGAGCACCAAACCGTAGGTTCTGTAATTTGGCAGGGCTTGAATTTGTCTTTGCAATGAGAGGAATTCAATCAATGCAAAACAGAGGAAGTGAAAGAAAAGGCAAGGCATTCTGAAAAAGGACTAACACAACGAACAGTAACAGATGGCTAGGCTGATAAAGAGGGGAGAGGACAGAAGGCAAGAAAAAGTGTAAGTGGAGAAGGGATTGTGCCAGAAAATAGAAGTTTGCTACATCAGTGACTTTCATAGCTGTGGCAATCAGTCAACTGGCAACCAATATGAAAGTGCATGTGCCACCTGGCACCTTTATATAGTATAGGAAGCGCTTTAGAGGATGGTGTGATATCTCTGTATTTTGAGAACCTCCTACTGGCACATAGATGCTCAGTGCATGCTGGAGGTCTTAGCACTTGGAGCTGCTCACTCACTGCCTTAGAATCATCAGTATTTGAGCATATTTAGTGCTATCTTGGAGTTCAATTCCTAATTCAGTTTCATTTGAAAAAATCCTGTTTGCATACTTTCGGACTACTTCTATCTGTGACTTAAAAAGGGTTAACCTGGATTAACTGAACATTTGCTTCAAAAATGCCATGTACTAAAATAATAATACAGATGCACCCAAAGACTAATAAACAGATTTTTTTTCCCTATGAAGAATTTGCACAGTGACTTCTAAGTCAGTTGCTGTTGGTCTTCTCACAGTCATAAACATTTCTGACTTCCTAAATTCTTTGCAAGAAATCAGTGTTGATGTTGTGCGAAATAGAACAGGCTTTAAAAAGTCACTTTGGCCAGCAGAACAATTCGCCTAATTTGGAACCAGTATGTGTCTTACAGGGCTAAGCAGGTGATTCCGTCATGGCACTACTCTTCTCCTGACACAAGGTTTGTTATCCTAAAAACAGTTGTGAAATTTAGGACCAATACTGTTTAAACCATCAGATGCTTTTACTGTTCTGCAGCCTCTACAAAAAAAGGGTAGAATATTCCTCTACCCTTTTCTCTTTCCTAACAGTAGATTTCAGACAGATTTGCAGGTGGTGGGGAAGGGGATGGAAGAAGAGAGAGATTTTCGTAAACTACAGCCTCCTTAACATGAAGTTTGCTGATGAATACTCTGCTCACTCTTTGTCTTCAAGGACACAGCTGTACAAATGGTCTCTCTCTTCACGGACTAATGCATATCGTTTTCTGTCTAGGTCCCTTGCGTGTTTATCGGGAAAAACTGCATTGGTGGACTTTCAGATCTGCAAAATTTATATAGACAACTCCCAGGAATGCTACGTCAAATTCATGCTCTACAGCAGTAAAGTGTAAGTAGTGGGAAACACTCTCTGGCCAACAGTAATGATTTTTCAGTACTGTAGATGAAATGCGAGTATAGTACTGAGCAATCTACCTTAGGCATCCATCACATTGGATGTTTGACTGCATATTGTGTTGGTATTATGTGTATTGCAACTTTATAGGGGACAATGCAGTTAATTTTGCTATGCAGTACAAAGGCATGTGCCCCTTTTGCTTCCTTTGGGCAAGGCTTATTGATCAACAAGTCAGCTCTGGCTACCAGACTAAAGGATTGTCCCTTGAAGGATTGTCCCTTATCTAAAATCCTTAACTTTAGTTTTTCCTATATCATCTTTTTCTGATTACAAGCTACAAAATTCTTGCAGCTAATTTTAGTGAGGGGTTTTTCCATTTTTAATGGTAATGGATGACTTGATGGAGCAATGCTGTCTACCATTACATGACAGTGAGGAATGAATTCATTTTTGGGATTCTCAGTTGCAGTATCTTCACTATGAACTTCTTACTGCCTACTTGAGAGAAATGTCTTTCTAAAATGTTTGACAGTATAGACCTTAGTTGCTTGCTTGTAAAAGGATCTAGGCAAAATGGTTCAGCTAGATCTTTTTTTTTCTATATATAAGAAGATTGAGTCTGTTAGTCTAAAAACAAAGTCTCTACATTTTAATCTGACTGTTAGTGGTAGAGAAGATAGGGCCTTATATTCTCCTTGGCTTTAAAAAACATCTGGACACTCTGGAGGATCTACTGCACTTTTCTGCTACCATGCTAACGTACTCGTTACAGACAGTGGCATGGATATACTTTTTCAGTCATACAGTATGATGGTTTCCATTTCGGTTAGCACAAGAGCTCTGTAGAACCCTAAGTACAAACTGGTAAAATATGAGTTAAAATTTTCTAATCGGAACATAAAGGCCTGTCTACATGACACAGTACAAACCTTTAGAAATCCCTTAACTAATTCTTAACAGACTGAAATAACTTTTCAACAGTAGTTCACAGAGATACTAACTTAGGATTCTAAAGAAATACTGTTATATTAGTTCTAGTAGAGAATGTGGAAAGACTAGAGCTGACTCCCAGTGGGGCTTTTTCATGTAGCTGGACACTGATTGTAGCTATGCTGCTTTCTAATTCCTTAGTAGTTTGGTCAGACAGCTTAGGTATTCTTGTATGCCATTTTGTTACACAGCATAAGCCTGACAGACTCGTGCAGTTACAGGAATGGACAAACGTTGCAGCAGCGAACTAGGGAAACAATATATGGATTAAGTTTGTA